GTTGGATAAATTGGTGGCGGTTGGGTATAGGTGAGAGGGGGCAATGGTGGGGTATTGCCATTGGTGATGGTGCTGTGGATGGGTTTGGACCGCTTAAATTTGCTGCATGGTGGCTGTTGGGTATAGGTGAGAGGGGGCGGTGGTGGGGATGATGGTGAGGGGGGGCGGTGGTGGGGATGATGGTGAGAGGGGGCGGTGGTGGGGATGATGGTGTGTAGATGGCGGTGGTGGGTGCAGTGCAGCAGCAGAGTTGCAGCAGCTGAGTGCGCTGGATAAGGCGGTGGCGGTTGAGTACAGGTGAGAGGGGGCGGTGGTGGGGTATTGGTGATGGTGCTGTGGATGGGTTTGGACCTTTTGAGAATTCTCAAAAGTTAAATTCTCGGACATTTTCCAGTGAGCGGCAGTACTTAGGTTCAGGCTAGAGCAAGTAGGAAAAGAAACTCGGACATTTTCCAGTGAGCGGCAGTACTTAGGTTCAGGCTAGAGCAAGTAGGAAAAGAAACTCGGACCTTCTTTTCCTACTTGCTCTAGCCTGAACCTAAGTACTGCCGCTCACTGGAAAATGTCCGAGGATCTGCAAAAGTTAAATTGGCTGCATGGTGGCGGGCGAGTGGGGTGGGCGTTGCAGCGGCTGAGTGCGGTGGACCGTTCACTCAGGGAATAGACATCTGCTGCCCTGTACTTTCCCCCAACCACTCTCCACCCCTTCACCTCCATCCCGCCAACCTCCCTTTCCCCAACGTCCATTCCCCCATCCTTCATTCCCCACTTGCCAGGCGGAGCAGGCGCTAGCTGCCATTCCCGACACGGCTCCCAACTGTCCGGGCCCGTTCACTCAGGGAATTGACATCAGCTCTCATCTTCTTTCCCCCACCCATTTCCAACCCCCTCAACCTCCACCCCCCCAACCTCCCTACCGCACCTCTTTCCCCCGCCTGGCAGGCCGAACAAGCTCTAGTTGCCATTCCCGACACGGCTCCCAACTGGCCAGGACCGTTCACTCAGGGGATTGACATCTGCTGCACACCTACCTAACCACTCTCAACCCCCCCAATCTCCCTACCACACCTCCATCTCCCACCTGCCAGGCTGAACAAGCTCTAGCTGCCATTCCCGACACGGCTCCCACAATAACTGGCCGGGATTGTTCACCCTGGGGATTGACATTAGCTCTCATCTTCGTTTCCCCTCCCCGCCAACCTCCACTGCCCACTTGCCAGGCTGAACAAGCGCTAGCTGCCATTCCCGACATGGCTCCCAACTGGCCAGGCCCGTTCATTCAGGGGATTGACATCTGCTACATCCACTTTCCCGACTTTTGAGGCGCCTCAAAAGTCTGCTACATCCACTTTCCCGACTTTTGAGGCGCCTGAAAAGTCTGCTACATCCACTTTCCCGACTTTTGAGGCGCCTGAAAAGTCTGCTACATCCACTTTCCCGACTTTTGAGGCGCCTGAAAAGTCTGCTACATCCACTTTCCCGACTTTTGAGGCGCCTCAAAAGTCTGCTACATCCACTTTCCCGACTTTTGAGGCGCCTCAAATGTCTGCTACATCCACTTTCCCACCCACTCTCCACCCCTCAACCTCCCCTCCAGTCTCCCAACCTCCCTACCGCAACCTTCCCTCCCCCACCCGCCAGGCGGAACAGGCGCTAGCTGCCATTCTTGACACGGCTCCTAACTGGCCGGGCCCGTTCACCCAGGGGATTGACATGCGCTGCCCCTCCATCCAACCAACCTTCATTTTCCCAACCTCCCCCAACCCCCCTCCCCTCCTGCCAGGCGGAACAGGCGCTAGCTGCCATTCCCGACACGGCCCCCAACTGGCCAGGGCCATTCACTCAAGGGATAGACATGTGCTCCATACACCAACCGTGGGAGGACACGTGGCAGCAGCAGTATGATGATGTCATGGGCGCTGAGCTGGCACGGCAGCGCCAAGCTGTCGTCCGCATGGCTGCTGACGTGGAGCTCTGCGTGCGATCTTTTGAGCGGGTACGCGGGGAGGGTGGTCTGCTAAATGGCTCATTGCTGTATTGCAGGGAGTTTTTGAGAATTCTCAAAAACTCCCCGCAACGCGGGGAGGGTGGTCTGCTACTAAATGGCTCATTGCTGTATTGATATCTTTTCTTGATATCTTTTCTTGGTATCTTTTCGCTTTTGAGAATTCTCAAAAGCGACTCAGATTCAGCCGGTTTTAAATTCCCTCAATTTTTAGTTTGTTGGAAGTTACCATTTCGGTTACAGAACCGATTGGTAAGAGCTCGATTCAATATCGGAGGCTCACCTACTGGGTAGGTTGGATAGGTTCGGTTCAGTTGTCCCTTGAAGTTTGTAGGGATAGGGTACGTGTCATGGTGGGCCCCAGTAGGGTCCGAGTTGGCAGCCCTGTAGGAAGTCGGGCAGATTACACCTGGGTAATAGTTTTACCTTGGGGAATTCGGGGGGGTTGTGAAGCTCGCAGGAGAGGGGTAGAAATTGGGTTAGCTTTTGTCATTTGTAAAACTCTTGCGCTGACGACGGCTCCGGCCGAAACGCGTACGCCTACAGTATTACCTGTGACTCATAGTAGTCCTGGTTTCTTACCACTCTCTTTTACTCCAGCAACTCACCCAACCCATTAGACGTATTGTTTAGCTAAAACCTTCAGGCGAATTCAAGCTTGCTGCGGTTCGAACCCTTTCAACTCTGTGCAAGAGGTCATCTTTTCTTGGTATCTTTTCGAATCAGAGGGTACCGGCTGGAACAGCCGAAGCGGCCCACGGCTGTGTGATTTACCTTCCTATTTTTCCCCCTTGTCTCTCTGTACGAGGGGCATTGGCTGCATCACATGCTCCCTTTCCCCAACCTCCTCCTCTCCCTCCCCCCCGCCCTTCCCCTCCCCGTCCCCATTCCCCCCCACCTCCCCCCCGTTTCTCCCCCCAGCTCCGCGCGCTCTCCTCTGTGTGGTCCGCGCCCTCACCCTTGGCTCTCTGTGAAGGTCTTTTTATCGCTGTACATTTCCCCCTTCCCCCCGCCTCCCCATCCCCCCCGCCTCCTCCCCTCCCCCCAGCTCCGCGCCCTCTCCTCTTTGTGGTCCGCGCCCTCCCCCTTGGCGGTCTGTGTGAGGGGACAGCTGGGCGAGGCGAAGCTTCTAGGAACCACCCCACGACAATTCGCCACTTTCACGCGCCTGCTCTCTGCCTCCAGGTGTGCTCCTGGCTCAGGTGTTTTTTCAGGTGGGTAGCTCAGCTGTTGTTTCACGTGGTGACTCAGGTGTTTCTTCAGGTGTGCTGGTGTAGGTATCTCTCTGGGCAGGTAGTGCAGGTGGGGCGCAGAGAACGGAGACATCCTGATACTCACGTGTGACCTTGCACCGACTTTTGAAGTGCTTCGAAAGTCGTCTTTCTCTCCGCGCTCTTGACAGTGGAATGGCTCGCATATATAATCCATAGAAAAGTCATGATGCTCATGTGTTAATGGGTTAAAGGTATGTCTTATGACATCGCCACAAAAGCATGACATGTATGGCATATCTCTTGTGTGGCAGTTGGGCAGTGTTGGCCACTGCTCAACACTGCTCAGCAGTGTATGCCATACACGGTTATCCATCGCCTCTCGGCCGCAACGGAACGAGATCGGCTTATTTTTGAGGCGCCTCAAGAAAAGTTGAGCAGTGTAGTGTTATCTAACGCCTCTTGGCCAGAATGGAAGGAGATCAGTGTTCGGAAAGCCTCTGCGCATTATCCTTATGCCGTGCGTACCCTGTGTGGCATGTGGCCAGTGTTGTGATCTCCGTCTCCTCTCGCCCGGAGTGGGACGCGGTTACCAACACCAACGCCACAGCAATTGGTGTTCCGGAAGATTCCCTGAAACATCTTGCACGTCTCTCTTATGCGGTGTGTATCCCGTGTGCTGTCCGTGCAGTGTTGTGATCTCCATCTCCTCTCACCCGGAGTGGGAGGCCGGCACCAATGCCACCAACACCACCAACGCCATGGTGACCGCAAATGGCAGAGAAGGGACGAGCAGCACACCAATGCAGGCGCATCAGAAATTTGGCGACAGCGAAACGAGCAGCAACAGCGGCAGTAGCAGCAACAGTGTAACGAGCAGCAGTATCAGCACCAGACGAGAAATATACAGCAGTAGCAGGAATAGCAGCAGCATCAGCAGCAGCAGCAGAAGAAAAATTGGCAGCAGTAGCAGGGGCAGCGGCAGCAGCAGCAGCAGAAGCAGAAGAAGAAGTAACAGCATGACCAGCTGGAGCGATAGCAGCAGTCGCATGAGTAACAGGGAGAGTAGTAGTGGAAAGTGGTGGGTAAGCAGCAGGAGGAGCAGGGACAGGAGGAACAAGGGCAGGAGGAGGAGAAGCAATGGTGGGGGCAGCGACTCAAACGTCAGATTGAGAAGGAGAGAGAGAGGGCGAGAAAGAGGGGGGAGGAGCAGAAGGGGCAGTCAAAAGAGGCGGGGCATTCGACGACTGCTTAGCGAGAAGGGGAGGGAGAGTGAGACTAGTAGAGGGCATGAAATCGACGGTGATGGTGATGATCTGCCTGGTATAATCAACGGTGGTGATGGTGACTCTGCTGCCCCTGATGATGGTAGCAACCCCAGCAGCACGGGAAACCAGTCAATAGAGTTACCAGTTCTGCCTCTTCAGAGAGAGGTGACTCTGACCTCCCGGTCGACTCAAAAGGCGGCCAGAAGCAACGGAAACCATTTTGAGGCGCCTCAAAAGACTTCCCGGTCGACTCAAGAGGCGGCCAGAGGCAACGGAAACCCTTTCAGACCATCCGCTGTCTCGCTTCTCCGAAGCGAAGGAGAGGCGAGGCGGGAGGGAGAGGGCAGGCAGGAGGGGAAGGCCAGGCGGGAGGGGAAGGCCAGGCGGGAGGGAGAGGGCAGTCACACAGCAGCAGAGAGCCCTTCCCCTTTCGAGAATTCCGAACTGGACAGGCAGAACGCAGCAGATAGGCTTTCCCCTTTCGAGAGTTCTGAACTGGACGGGCAGAAAGCAGCAATGACTCCGGGTACCTGGGAGGAGGAGCTTCTCTCCCTCTTCCCGTCTATCTCCATCCTCCACCGCCCTCCGTCCTGGCTGCAGCGGTGGCAGCAACCCTACAGCACGGGTGCTGGGGATGGGGAGAAGGGGAGCGGGGTGGATGGGGTTGGTGGGGAGGGGGAGAAGGGGAGTGGGGAGGATGAGGGTGTGGGTGCAGATGGTGGTCAGCAGGGGGAGGCGGAGTGGGAGAAATACACGCTTGAGGTTGAGGACGACCTGTTGTGGCGCGTGGATGTGATCAAGGTGCGTGTACAGCGGAGCATGTAAGAGATGCTGACTGCAGGTTTGGTGGGGGCGGAGAGGAAAATACAAGCTTGAGGTTGAGGACGACTTGTTGTGGCGCGTCGATGTATTAAAGGTTCGTGCCTTAAGGCACCAAAGAAACGGTGGGTGTACAAGCGTGAGGATGGGGGAGGGGATGGTGCTCAGGAGGGGGGGCTGGAGTGGGAGAAATACAAGGTTGAGGTTGAGGACGGCCTATTGTGGCGTGAGGATGTGATCAAGGTGCGTGATTACTTTTGAATCGACTCAATAGTTAACAGAGCGAGGAAACGAGCGAGTGTGAGGTTGAAGTTGAGAATGGGCTGCTGTGGCGTGTGGATGTGATCAAGGTGCGTTCTTTGAGTCGCCTCAAGATGTGATTTTATGTGCGCGGTAATGAGGCGAATTTTGAGGCGCCTCGAAGGTTGAGGTGGAGGATGAGATGAGGTGCTGTGGCATGTGGATGTGCGTGGTGATTTCATGTGTGCTGCCGCTGCTGTGCGTGTGCGCGTGTGCGTGCGTGCGTGCGTGCGTGTGTGCGTGCGTGCGTGCGTGCGTGCGTGTGTGCGGGCGTGCGTGCATGTACGTGTGCATGTGCGTGTGCATGTGTGCGCGCGCATGTGTGCGTGTGCGTGGTCTACTGTCATACATGATCTCTCGCGTCTGTGTGCCCCCATACGTGACTGGCTCTTGTGCAGCACAGGTGGGTGTGGACCATCTGGCCTGTGTCACCGAATCTAATGGTGAGTGCATCATATTCTGGACATTTGCTAATTGAGGTGTAGTAGTGCTGTAGCAATTGCTATTCAAGCTATAAAGGGGGGGTAGTTGGGTATTGGGAGAAGCGAAGGGTTGGTGACATTGGGGGGCGTAGGGCGCTGCGGGAGCAATTCCAGGGACATTGGGAGACAGGAAATCTGGCGAGGGCCAATCCAAGGCCTAGGCGGCTCGGGCTCAACCCATCACGCTGAGAATTGCGCGACTGGGTAGCAATGCACAAGAAGCCTAGCCTAGCAAAGCAATCTTGTTCTCTCGACTTGTTTACCTATCATAGCGGATTTCTGTTACCGTACTCAAGCTATCGCAGCTAGGTGACTAAGCCGCTCTTGGTAGCCATCCTGTGGGAGCCCGTAACTCTCACAAGTCGAGAGAAGTGCGCCGGCGATATGGATCGCCATGAGCTGCGGACGCAGCGTACGTACTCGCGGCGGGAGCGCTCTCCGTCGCGTATGAGGCGCTCAAGGGAGCGCGGAAGGTCGCCAACGCGCTCGCCGCGGAGGGCAGCGTATCGTGCGGATCCGGTGACGCCAACGGGCGTGCGAGGAGAGGGAAGCGGGGAGGATCTGCGCGTCAGATCGGAGCCTTGGAGGCGACCCGCAACGAGCAATCCGTGGAACCTGGCGGGAGGCCAGCACGGACTGGAGGAAGGGTACCACGATGGAGACGTGGAGATGGAATCGACGGGCGAGCTCGATGATGAAGAAGAGGGGGAAGAGCCCCCGCTTGTTCCTGGTCGCGGGAGACGAGGCATCGCTGGCGGGGAAGGATTTCCTGCTGAGCAAGGCGGCGGAAGACGTGGCGACGCCGGCGACGAAGATTCCCCCACTGCGCGGGGCGGCGGAAGACATGGCAACGATGGCGACAATGGATCCCGTACTGCACGGGGCGGCGGAAGGCGTGGCAACGCCGGCGACGAAGAGTCTCCCACTGCGCGGGGCAGCGGAAGGTGCGGCGTCACCGACGACGAGGGATCCCCCACTGCGCGGGGCGGCGGAAGGCGCGGCGACGTCGGCGACGAAGATTCCCCCACTGCGCGGGGCGGCGGAAGGCGTGGCAACGCCGGAGACGAAGAGTCCCCCACTGCGCAGGGCGGCGGAAGGCGTGGCGTTACCGACGACGAGGGATCCCCCACTGCGCGGGGCGGCGGAAGGCGCAGCGACGCCGGCGACGAAGATTCCCCCACTGCGCGGGGCGGCGGAAGGCGTGGCAACGCCGGCGACGAAGAGTCCCCCACTGCGCAGGGCGGCGGAAGGCGCGGCGTTACCGACGACGAGGGATCCCCCACTGCGCGGGGCGGCGGAAGGCGCGGCGTTACCGACGACGAGGGATCCCCCACTGCGCGGGGCGGCGGAAGGTGCGGCGACGCCAGCGACGAAGATTCCCCCACTGCGCGGGGCGGTGGAAGACGCGGTGACGCCGGCCACAACGGGTCACCCACTGCGCGGGAAGAAGGGAAGCAGGGGATCAACAAGAGGGATGAGGAAGAGCGGATCCGCCGTGGAAAAGCGCGAGAGGAAGGCGAAGAACACCGGGAAAGAGAGCTCTCACCTGCAGGACCGCGCGGAGGAGTACGGCGAGGGAGCGGCAGAGGAGAGGAGTGCCGATCGAAGGCGCGCCAAGGAGGCGGGACAAGTCAAGGGGCACCGGTGGGTGTCTTCCACTCACCTGAACCAAGGCCAGGGTATGACCGCCGACGACGCATGGCGTTGGGCGGGGATCGGCAGCCGGATCAGGAAAGGCGAGAAGAAGAGCTGGATGACGTGGGACGGCATCAGAGAGGACACCACGAGTGGGAAGAAAGGCGTGGCGGAGAAGGACGCTACAAAGACAAGGGAAGACGTTCACCGAACGGTTCAACAGCAAGGGAAGGAGGTCGGCTGCGAGAAGAGCGAGAGCGGCATCATCAGGGGCGGTCTCCTGCGCAGAGAGAGCGGCAATGGGGCGATCAAGAACGACGCAGGGGAGGTCAGGAAGGGTGGAGGAGGAGTCAGAGCCCGAGTGGAATAAGGAGGCCACGACAGTGTGGAGAAGGATCTAGCGGAGCGAGAGCGGCACGTGAAGGGCTAGAGCGGGTGCTATATGGGACCAGCACGGAGAGCAGAGGAGAAAGAGGAAAGCAGCGAGGGGCTGCTCAAACAGATCAGGGAGGCTCTGGAAACTGGGATGTGGGGAGATGGAGCGCGACAGCACAGCCAAGAGTGGAGGTGCCCGTACGCTTCACAGGGAACGAAGGTACAGGCCCAAGCCTTAAGAACTACCTGATGCAGATAGGCAACGTCAAGTACAGGTGCGATCGCAGCCGCATGGATCCCATCGACTTCTTCCTAAGCCTGCCAAACACATTGGGAGGGGAAGCAGAAACCCTGTACCGCATGAAGATGGGTGAGTGGCTGAGAAGGGCAGATGAGGACGACGAAGACCCGACGGTATTGTTCTTGGAGCGGCTAAGGAAGCAGTTCCCTGGGCATACGGCAGCGCGCATACGGGAGTTCCAGGAGTTCAGGCGTAGGGATGAGGAGTCGCTGCTGACTTACTATGGACGATTAATGAACCTGGCGGAAGATGTGGCATGCACGGACAGCAGCATGATCATCAGTAAGTTTCTGAACGGGTTGGACAGGGGACTGGCAGGAGGGCTGAGAATGAGAGTTTATGAGCTAGGGGCGGATGCATCACCAGAAGAAGTGTTCGAGTTAGCAGAAAGGGTGGAGCTGGCACAGAGGAAATACGAGGTGTACCTGCCAAGAGCGACAGAGAGAAAGAATCCCGCTTGGGCAGCAGCAATGGTGGCTGAGACAGGAGGAAGGGAGGAAGGACGGCAGGAGAGAGGAGCGGAGACATGCACCTGCCACCGGTGCAAGCAGCCGGGACACTTGATGAGGAACTGCAGGAATTGTGACACCTGCGGGAAGCCGGGACACCGACGCAAGGATTGCCCAGATGCACCGATCTGCGAGGTGTGCGGGAAGCGGGGGCATAGAGGCAAGGACTGTTACCAGCGCTCGGGAGGACAGCGGAGGACGCCAGAGGATATAAAAGGACAAATCAGCAAGCTGCAGGCGCAACTGCAGGCACTGGGAGGAAAGCCAGAGAAAGAAGCAGGGCTGTATGCGAGGGAAGACGATGACGAGGCAGAGGTGATAGAGGAGCCAAATCCAGAATACCAGTTCATGGTGCTGCGCAGCAGAGATGACCTGGGCCTGCGTAGTGAGGGCAGGGACGGAAGGAAAGAACAGATGATGAAAGAGAGGAGGCGGCCAATGAGCGACAAGGAGGAACAGCGGGACAGAACAAAGGAGCCTGGCCGGCACCCAAAAGACAGACTAGCAAGTCAGGCCACGGTGCTCATGGTGGAGCCAGGAGCAGTGATGGTGGGAGGAGAAAAAGCCAAGACAGCCATACTGGACACTGGAGCACAGAGCGTCATGCTGGGTAAGCGGATGGCACAGAAGCTAGGACTAACAGGGCCAGGACAGAGCGTGAAGAAAGGGATGCTGGTGATGACGGCAGAGGGAGGCGAGCCTCAGTGGTTACCCTGCACGAAAACACCCATAGAAGTGACACTGTTGCCAGGACAGGAAGGGCAGACGTGTCTCCAAGTGCCATGCGGTATATCGGAGTCGGAAGACTTTGATGTACTGCTTGGGACGGACCTGATATGGGGCGTGGGCATGACCATCTGCACATGGAAGGAGCAGGTGCAGTTTCGGAAGCAGTACTGGTCAAAGAATAGTGAGGTGAGGGAGTTACCGGTGCAGTTTGTGAGACAGGAACCTAAGAGGGCATACGCGGTAGGCGAGGCAGGGAGAAAGGAAGGGGGAAAAGCAGGGCTGGTCGGCAAGGCAGCGGCGGCAGGCGGATGGCAGGAACCAATAAGGCTGGTAGAACTGTTCGGAGGCATCGGTGCAGGCTTGGCAGCAGTAGTAAAAGCAGGGATAGCGGTGAAAGAGTGGGTATACGTGGAGAAGAACGAGAAGGCCAGGAAGATGGCTGAACACCACGCCCGTATGCTCCAGAGGGAGAATCCTGAGCTGCTGGAAGCAAAGGTAATAGACAGAGCAATGCGGAGGACAGTGAAGGATGTAAGGGGGATTACGCCAGAAATGGTAAGGGATTGGGGACCAGTGGACCTGCTGGTGGCAGGATGGGAATGCCAAGGGGTATCGAGGGCCGGCAAGGGAAGAGGGATGGAGGACCCCCGAGGAGCGATGCTGCTAGATTTACTGCGCATCATGGACTGGATCAGGGAGAGGCAGGAGAAGTTGGTATACCTGCTGGAGCATCTAGACCTAGAGGGAGACTGCAGGGAGCCGGTAAGGAAGGTGAGGGACCTGGTGTGGAAGAAACTGGGAAAAGGGGTGAGGTGCGACGCCGCGAGGTTGGGGGCACGCGCGCACAGGGTAAGGAGGTACTGGCAGAACGTTGTGCCTGACGAGCAGCTGCAAGAAGAACTGGACGGGATAAGGAGGGATTGGAGCAGAACGGTAAGGGATATCTTGGAACCAGGCAGTACGGCAGCGCCCGTGAAAAAGGGGAGACATGCGACACAATGCCCCTGCAACAAAGTGGGGGCAGAGCGCAGAGCATGGCCGACCCTAGTGGCCTATGAAAAGGCAGCAGGGTTTAAGATGGAAGGTGGGGAGCCAGGGGAGGGGATGGTGTATGATCATACGAAGCAGCAGTGGGAAGAACCTACGGCGCTGGAGAGGGAGCTGGCGATGGGGTATGAGGAAAACGCAACGAAGGCAAGTGGGGTAACAGAGCAGGAGAGGAGGCGAGCGCTAGGGCAGGCAATGGATGGGCAGGTAATGAGGTGGTTCGTGCGGAGGATGTGGAGAGGGGTAGTGTTGGAAGCGGAGCCAAAAGGGGAGGAACAGATGCGAGAGGTGCAGAAAGTGGGGGCATGGGTGAGCTTACCCGTGAAGGAGGAGGCAGAATGGGCGATAGGAGACACCATGGGAAAGGAAGGGAAGAAGGCACTGCAAGCAGTGCTGGCCAAGTACAGACATGCCTTCGCCTTTACGCTACAAGAGCTGGGGAAATGTACGGTGAAAGAAATGGAGCTGAAGCTGACTACAGATGAGCCGGTGTTCCAGAGGAAGAGGCGGATGGCCCCGGGGGATGAGGATGTCTGCAGGGAAAAATGCAAGGAGTTGCTTGAAGCAGGCCTGATCCAGAGGTCGGAATCAGAGTATGCCACGCCTACAGTGATAGCTGCAAGGAAGGATCTTACGGGGGAGGTGCTGAGCAGGCGCATGTGTGGGGATTACCGAGCGCTGAACAAGCTGACCGTGCCTGACAGGTACCCCATGCCAACAGCAGAAGAGATCTTCGACAGACTAGGGGAGGGGGAGATATTTAGCACGTTAGATCTTCGGCAGGGCTTCAATCAGATCAGGATCAAGAAGGAGGATGTTCGCAAGACCGCATTTCACGGGGCGGACGGTTTGTATGAGTGGCTGTTCATGCCTTTCGGGCTGCGAAACGCATCAGCCATATTTCAACGCGTGATGGATAGTGTATTGCGGGGGCTGGAGTGTGCGGCATGCTACATAGATGACGTGGTCATCTTCAGCAAAACAGAGGAGGAACATGTGAGAGATGTGGAGCGTACCTTGAAGGCGCTGGTAGCGGCAGGACTGACCTGCCACCCAAAGAAGTGTCGGTGGGGGGAGGCGACAGTGCAGTATCTGGGGTATGAGGTGAAGGGAGGCCAGATAGGGATTCATAAGGCTAAAGTTGCGGTATTGGACCGACTGCAGCAGCCCAAGGACAGGAGCGGATTGCGGGCGGTGCTGGGGTTTCTCAGCTACTACCGGCGCTTTGTGCCCAATTTCAGCAAGCGAGCAGTGGCGCTGAACTCCCTGTTAAAGGAGGACAAGAAGTGGGAGTGGGGAGCAGAGCAGGAAGGGGCGCTGAGGGATTTAATGGAAGCAGTACAGACAGCAACAGTGTTGCAACTGCCACAGGCGGACAAGCCCTTTTCCCTATACACTGACTGGAGCAGCCAGGGCATGGGTGCAATCCTCTGCCAGGAGCTAGATGGGGAGGAGAGAGTAGTGGCATATGCGAGCCGGAGCTGCAACCCGGCGGAGGCAAAGTACAGCTCGTATCACGGGGAAGGGCTGGCGGCCGTATGGGCGGTGAAGCACTTTAGGGTGTATCTGCAGGGCAGAGAATTCACCTTAATCACCGACCATCAGCCGCTGCAGTGGTTGATGACACATCAGGGGATGACGGGGAGAAACGCGCGCTGGGCGGTCACGCTGCAGGAATATGACTTGAAGATACGGCACAGGCCAGGGAAGACACTAGAGCACGTGGACGGGCTCTCAAGGAAGACACTAGAGCACGTGGACGGTCTCTCAAGGAAGACACTAGAGCACGTGGACGGTCTCTCAAGGAAGACACTAGAGCACGTGGACGGTCTCTCAAGGAAGACACTAGAGCACGTGGACGGTCTCTCAAGGAAGACACTAGAGCACGTGGACGGTCTCTCAAGGAAGACACTAGAGCACGTGGACGGTCTCTCAAGGAAGACACTAGAGCACGTGGACGGTCTCTCAAGGAAGACACTAGAGCACGTGGACGGTCTCTCAAGGAAGACACTAGAGCACGTGGACGGTCTATCAAGGAAGACACTAGAGCACTTGGACGGTCTCTCAAGGAAGACACTAGAGCACGTGGACGGTCTCTCAAGGAAGACACTAGAGCACGTGGACGGTCTCTCAAGGAAGACACTAGAGCACGTGGACGGTCTCTCAAGGAAGACACTAGAGCACGTGGACGGTCTCTCAAGGAAGACACTAGAGCACGTGGACGGTCTCTCAAGGAAGACACTAGAGCACGTGGACGGTCTCTCAAGGAAGACACTAGAGCACGTGGACGGTCTCTCAAGGAAGACACTAGAGCACGTGGACGGTCTCTCAAGGAAGACACTAGAGCACGTGGACGGTCTCTCAAGGAAGACACTAGAGCACGTGGACGGTCTCTCAAGGAAGACACTAGAGCACGTGGACGGTCTCTCAAGGAAGACACTAGAGCACGTGGACGGTCTCTCAAGGAAGACACTAGAGCACGTGGACGGTCTCTCAAGGAAGACACTAGAGCACGTGGACGGTCTCTCAAGGAAGACACTAGAGCACGTGGACGGTCTCTCAAGGAAGACACTAGAGCACGTGGACGGTCTCTCAAGGAAGACACTAGAGCACGTGGACGGTCTCTCAAGGAAGACACTAGAGCACGTGGACGGTCTCTCAAGGAAGACACTAGAGCACGTGGACGGTCTCTCAAGGAAGACACTAGAGCACGTGGACGGTCTCTCAAGGAAGACACTAGAGCACGTGGACGGTCTCTCAAGGAAGACACTAGAGCACGTGGACGGTCTCTCAAGGAAGACACTAGAGCACGTGGACGGTCTCTCAAGGAAGACACTAGAGCACGTGGACGGTCTCTCAAGGAAGACACTAGAGCACGTGGACGGTCTCTCAAGGAAGACACTAGAGCACGTGGACGGTCTCTCAAGGAAGACACTAGAGCACGTGGACGGTCTCTCAAGGAAGACACTAGAGCACGTGGACGGTCTCTCAAGGAAGACACTAGAGCACGTGGACGGTCTCTCAAGGAAGACACTAGAGCACGTGGACGGTCTCTCAAGGAAGACACTAGAGCACGTGGACGGTCTCTCAAGGAAGACACTAGAGCACGTGGACGGTCTCTCAAGGAAGACACTAGAGCACGTGGACGGTCTCTCAAGGAAGACACTAGAGCACGTGGACGGTCTCCCAAGGAAGACACTAGAGCACGTGGACGGTCTCTCAAGGAAGACACTAGAGCACGTGGACGGTCTCTCAAGGAAGACACTAGAGCACGTGGACGGTCTCTCAAGGAAGACACTAGAGCACGTGGACGGTCTCTCAAGGAAGACACTAGAGCACGTGGACGGTCTCTCAAGGAAAACACTAGAGCACGTGGACGGTCTCTCAAGGAAGACACTAGAGCACGTGGACGGTCTCTCAAGGAAGACACTAGAGCACGTGGACGGTCTCTCAAGGAAGACACTAGAGCACGTGGACGGTCTCTCAAGGAAGACACTAGAGCACGTGGACGGTCTCTCAAGGAAGACACTAGAGCACGTGGACGGTCTCTCAAGGAAGACACTAGAGCACGTGGACGGTCTCTCAAGGAAGACACTAGAGCACGTGGACGGTCTCTCAAGGAAGACACTAGAGCACGTCGACGGTCTCTCAAGGAAGACACTAGAGCACGTGGACGGTCTCTCAAGGAAGACACTAGAGCACGTGGACGGTCTCTCAAGGAAGACACTAGAGCACGTCGACGGTCTCTCAAGGAAGACACTAGAGCACGTGGACGGTCTCTCAAGGAAGACACTAGAGCACGTGGACGGTCTCTCAAGGAAGACACTAGAGCACGTGGACGGTCTCTCAAGGAAGACACTAGAGCACGTGGACGGTCTCTCAAGGAAGACACTAGAGCACGTGGACGGTCTCTCAAGGAAGACACTAGAGCACGTGGACGGTCTCTCAAGGAAGACACTAGAGCACGTGGACGGTCTCTCAAGGAAGACACTAGAGCACGTGGACGGTCTCTCAAGGAAGACACTAGAGCACGTGGACGGTCTCTCAAGGAAGACACTAGAGCACGTGGACGGTCTCTCAAGGAAGACACTAGAGCACGTGGACGGTCTCTCAAGGAAGACACTAGAGCACGTGGACGGTCTCTCAAGGAAGACACTAGAGCACGTGGACGGTCTCTCAAGGAAGACACTAGAGCACGTGGACGGTCTCTCAAGGAAGACACTAGAGCACGTGGACGGTCTCCCAAGGAAGACACTAGAGCACGTGGACGGTCTCTCAAGGAAGACACTAGAGCACGTGGACGGTCTCCCAAGGAAGACACTAGAGCACGTGGACGGTCTCTCAAGGAAGACACTAGAGCACGTGGACGGTCTCTCAAGGAAGACACTAGAGCACGTGGACGGTCTCTCAAGGAAGACACTAGAGCACGTGGACGGTCTCTCAAGGAAGACACTAGAGCACGTGGACGGTCTCTCAAGGAAGACACTAGAGCACGTGGACGGTCTCTCAAGGAAGACACTAGAGCACGTGGACGGTCTCTCAAGGAAGACACTAGAGCACGTGGACGGTCTCTCAAGGAAGACACTAGAGCACGTGGACGGTCTCTCAAGGAAGACACTAGAGCACGTGGACGGTCTCTCAAGGAAGACACTAGAGCACGTGGACGGTCTCTCAAGGAAGACACTAGAGCACGTGGACGGTCTCTCAAGGAAGACACTAGAGCACGTGGACGGTCTCTCAAGGAAGACACTAGAGCACGTGGACGGTCTCTCAAGGAAGACACTAGAGCACGTGGACGGTCTCTCAAGGAAGACACTAGAGCACGTGGACTGTCTCTCAAGGAAGACACTAGAGCACGTGGACGGTCTCTCAAGGAAGACACTAGAGCACGTGGACGGTCTCTCAAGGAAGACACTAGAGCACGTGGACGGTCTCTCAAGGAAGACACTAGAGCACGTGGACGGTCTCTCAAGGAAGACACTAGAGCACGTGGACGGTCTCTCAAGGAAGACACTAGAGCACGTGGACGGTCTCTCAAGGAAGACACTAGAGCACGTGGACGGTCTCTCAAGGAAGACACTAGAGCACGTGGACGGTCTCTCAAGGAAGACACTAGAGCACGTGGACGGTCTCTCAAGGAAGACACTAGAGCACGTGGACGGTCTCTCAAGGAAGACACTAGAGCACGTGGACGGTCTCTCAAGGAAGACACTAGAGCACGTGGACGGTCTCTCAAGGAAGACACTAGAGCACGTGGACGGTCTCTCAAGGAAGACACTAGAGCACGTGGACGGTCTCTCAAGGAAGACACTAGAGCACGTGGACGGTCTCTCAAGGAAGACACTAGAGCACGTGGACGGTCTCTCAAGGAAGACACTAGAGCACGTGGACGGTCTCTCAAGGAAGACACTAGAGCACGTGGACGGTCTCTCAAGGAAGACACTAGAGCACGTGGACGGTCTCTCAAGGAAGACACTAGAGCACGTGGACGGTCTCTCAAGGAAGACACTAGAGCACGTGGACGGTCTCTCAAGGAAGACACTAGAGCACGTGGACGGTCTCTCAAGGAAGACACTAGAGCACGTGGACAGTCTCTCAAGGAAGACACTAGAGCACGTGGACGGTCTCTCAAGGAAGACACTAGAGCACGTGGACGGTCTCTCAAGGAAGACACTAGAGCACGTGGACGGTCTCTCAAGGAAGACACTAGAGCACGTGGACGGTCTCTCAAGGAACCCGCCGTCAGCAGAGCCCGTGCATACGCTGATGATGCTGGCCACGCAGGGGGAGGCGGCGGCAGTAGTGAAGCAGAGAGGGCCGCAGGACATATGGGAGGACCCGGTGGCACTGCGGTGGATCAGAGGGGAGACGGAGGCAGATGAGCAAGTGGCAGACGGGGTAAGGGCACGAGGACACCATTACCGATGGTACCAAGGACAGCTGCAGCTGCAGTCAGTGGACGGGTGGAAGCTGGTGCCGGCACCACATGAGAGAGAAGGTGTGATTGAGGAGGTGCACAGTAAATTGGGGCATTTCGGGCATGAGCGCACAACTCAGCTGCTGAAAACAGGCTGGTGGTGGCAGGGAATGGGGAAGCAGGTCAAGGAATGGGTGAGCGGGTGCGAGGGCTGTCAGAGGAGCAAGGCCAGTTTGATGCAGGCAAAGCAGGAGTTGCAGTCATTGCCGATCAGGGGACTGGGGTTTAGGTGGTCACTGGACTTGGCTGGCGAGTTGCCACTGAGTAGAGGAGGGAAGCGGTACATCTTGATCATGGTGGAACACGCCAGCAAGTGGCTGGAAGTCTGCGCAATTCCAAGCAAAGATTCAAGGCACGTGGCCAGGGCGTTCAAGGGGCAGGTGTTATGCAGATTTGGGGCGCCCGGGGAAGTCCTTACTGACCAGGGAACAGAGTTCAAAGGGGAATTTCAAGCACTGCTGGATGAGGCGAAGGTGACACACAGGCAGACGTCCAGGTATCACCCCCAGAGCGATGGACTGACAGAGCGCCTGGTGCAGACCTTGAAGAGGAACCTGAGGGCGTACGGGGAGAAGCGGAAGAGGGACTGGGATGAGGAGCTAGACTGGATAGCGGCAGGGTATAGGTTCGGAAAGCAGGCGTCGCTGAAGGACTACTCCCCCTACAGTCTGTTGTTTGGGAAAGAGCCGATCTTACCCGTGGGAGCGCCAAGGGTGCTCACGGAAGTGGTGAGAGTGAAAGGGGCAGAACAGTGGGTCGCGCTGGCAGAAGCAAGGGCAAGGTACATGCGTGAGATGCTTCCTGCAGCGCTCGAGAACCTGCACACGGCACAGCTGCGGGATGCACATAGGTATGAGCAGCGGCAACAGCAGGGTGGAGGGAAGGCTAAGCCAGCAGTAATGGAGGGACAGGAAGTGTACCTGCGCAGGGCAAGGAAGGACACGTTGGACGTCGGGTTGGGGACAGAGAGGTGGAAGGTGAAGGAAGTAAGGGGATCAGGGGTGTTGGTGCTGGAGAATGAGAGGGGTGAGCGTACGGTGGATCACCAGACGAACACGGCGGCAGTGAAGGAGCGGCGACCTCAGCAGGAAGGTCCTGTGACACGTGCACGGGCAGCCCGAGCACGAGCACAGGAGGGGGCAGGAAGTGGCTGAGGAAGAACACAGTGTACAAGGTGTGGAAGGTAGGCAGAAGGAAGACAGGCGGGTAAAGACAGAAGACAGAGAAGACACAAGAGGGTAAGGGACCAAGGGGAGGAGGAAAAGGGTAACTCCGACACCTGGGCTACCCTCATGTAGCCTGTAGCGGTGCTGCAAGTGCTGATACGCAACCTCTGGTGTCTGTGTCTCCCCGTGACTGGCTCTTGCCCCCTTCAGGTGGATGTGGAGCATCTGGACCCGGCTGTCATTGCAACCTGGGCTACAGCCATGCTCGATGCATCTGCCGGGAACCCGCCGCCACCATCATCATCCCAACCCGCACCACCACCACCACCACCACTGCCACCACCATCCCCGCACCTCCTACCATCGCCCGCACCTCGCCCGCTCTCGGTGTGTCAGCTGCTCGTGTCGTTCCCCGTGGGCGAGGCAGCCACAGCAGGGAGAAGGCAGATAGACGAGCAGCTTGAAGAGGCTGGATTCCAGCTGGCGGTGTGTGTCGGCTCTCCTCCTGACTGGGACCACCAGTGCTGCTCCTACTTCCATGTGCATAACTGTGTCCGTTGAGCAAACTGCAGTGCAGTGCACAAGTGAGGCAGCCACAGCAAGGAGAAGACAGGTGGACGAGCAGCTTGAACAAGCCGAATTCCAGCTCGCCTTGTGTGTCAGCTCTGTGCCTGATTGGGACAGCCAGTGCTGCTCCTACTTCCATGTGCATAACTGTATTCGTTAAACACGGGGAACATGCCACCACCACAATCACAACCACCACACCATCACTGCACCTCATACCATACCTTGCAACGCCTACTATATTGCTCGCACCTCGCCCGCTTGCTGTGTGCCAGCTGCTCGTGTCGTTCCCCGTGGGCAAGGCAGCCACAGCAGGGAGAAGGCAGATAGACGAGCAGCTGGAACAAGCTGCCTTCCACCTGGCCTCCTGTGCCGGCTCTCCTCCTGATTGGGACCGCCAGCGCTGCTCCTATTTCCATGTGCATAACTGTCTCCGTTAAACACATTCCAATATCGAGGCAGCCACAGCGGCGAGACAGCACGTGGATGAGCAGTTGCAGCAAGCTGACTTCCACCTGCCCCCCTGTGTTGGCTCCGTGTCTGATTGGGACCGCCAGCGCTGCTCCTACTTCCATACTAGTAAATGTCTCCGTTTAACACACTCCAGTACCTGTGATGGTTTTTGAGAATTCTCAAAAACCTCCTACTTCCATACTAGTAACTGTCTCCGTTAAACACACTTCAGTGCACCCGTGAGGCAGCCACAGCAGGGCGAAGGCATGTGGACGAGCAGTTGGGGCAAGCTGGCTTTCGAACCTACTCAAGAATCACCTTGGGTGAAGCTGCAAGCAGGGAGAGAAGGCAGGTGGACGAGCAGATGGAGAGAGCTGGCTCCCAGCTGGCCGTATGTGTCGGATCTCTTCCAAAATTGGGACTGCCAGTGCTGCTACTTTCCATACTGGTAACTGTATCAATTGGGGGTCCCAGTATTAACAGCATTGCATGAGTCAAGCAGCAAGCAGGGTGAAGGCAGGTGGACGACGAGCAGATGGAGTTAAACTGGCGCTGGCTGGCGGTATGTGTCGGCTCAGTTTCGGATTGGAAGTGGCACAACCTGCTTGGCTGAACACCTTCCCACAGCATGCCTGCTCCTTGAGTGTATGTGTACTATTCATGAATTGGTTATAATACATTCTATCTCACAGGTCATCCAGCTAACACGCTAGTCTATGTCTTGTTCCTAATAATATGAAACCCACAGAAGGACTCGTTATCAGATACAAGGAGGGAACAATGTGGTACAGGAGGACTTGTTATCATATACAAGTAGTGCCAACTATTTCTCCTTACAAGGATGGTGCGGCTGTACTCTGAGCTGGTAGATCCTCCTTTGTATGCTCCGCGTTACTCGCCTGTTGTGGCTGTTTCTGCGACTCTACATCAGACGTGGTGTCGGTTACAGTCTCTTGTCGCATACGCATGCAGGTCAACGTGGTGTCAATGATAAATAGGAGGAGCGTCAGCGCGAACAACGCGAGGAGCACGGCTCGAAGAATTTCGTAGGCCTCCACTGCAATGGCCCGGAGAAAACAGAAAGCATTGGGAACGATCATTGCAAAAATCCTCATGGTGAAAAAAGGTGTGACGTGGGTAGGTTGGAAAAACAGTGACACGAAAAGTTATGGATTAGTGAATAGTGATGATAATGGGGAGGGTTTCGGCCAGTCCATCAAAACTCTCTTATAAGATAAAGAGCTCAAGCTGACTAGTTCTGGAATGACGAAGAGGAAAATTGCTGATGTATTACTTACTATAATGGTGAGAGTCAGCTATTTATGACTGGAGAAACCCACGAAAAGAGGTCACCAGCGAGTACAGCTGTTGTCTCCGGTAAGCAGATATAGTTGCGGTGGTTTCGTAGAACGAAGTCAGCGAATTGAAACATAGCTGTTACCTTCTCGTCAATGTATTCGGCTCCTAAAACATAACGCAATTGCGCATCTTGGCGAGCGATAGACAGACGGAAGAGAGGAGAGCTTGAACGTGTTCTTCCTGAACAAGACATGTGCTGTGGAGAGAGAATTCAGATGTCTAAAAGTGGGATGAGGAGATGTAGCGAGAAAAAAACGAGCAGAACAGGAAGTCAGTCGACTGGCAGATCCAGAATCCAGATTGTGGTGGTGAAGGGGTTGGTTCCACGAGGATGCGAGGGATAATTTTCTCCATACTTCGCGCATTAGTTCGCAGAACTGCCTCTTCTCTTTCGCAGCGTGTGTAACGCCTGGTATGGCATCGCCGTTCTTCGCATGTTAGTGTGTGCGGCTTGCTGCGAGCCGCAGCGGGACTTGCGGAGGCAGGGAATGAATTGGGGTGTTGGAATTATTGCAAATAATTTACAGTCTGCAACGAAGAAGACGTCGAGAAAAGAATGCTCCGCTACCTCATGTTACAATCTACATCTCTGTATCAGGGTATAGATTTTCCTTATATCATTAATATGCATGATATTCAAATATTTAGAAAAACAGAAATACCGCATGCATGCTTATCACAACTCGATCGGTGTGATTCTGGAAATGCACCAGTCATTTTTTTTGGCTCGAATACGTTATGTTCATTAGAGCCCATGTAGCTACAAATTGCATCCCACACATACAGCATCCCCACTGCTTCCCCTGGTTCACCCTACTAGGCTGATACTCTCGCCTCTTCGCCTGCTGGTGCTCCGTCTGCTGCGTCTGCAGCCTCTTTGGATGGCTGCGGCGGTATCTGAGATTCTACATCAGCAGGCGGGACATCAACGACTGCGCGACTGCGACAGCAGTCACAGTGAGCATAGCACATGTAGACGAGGATTCCGACAATCGCTGCGAGCGCGATTGCCAGCACAACTATGCGAAAAACGCTGAAATTTGCCACTGGTGGGCGCGCGAAAGTCCTCATAGCTGCGGAAAGCAATGGAAGTATAAGAATGTCAAATGTTGTAGCCTATAGTGAGGTTTGTCTTAGGGGGTACAAAACTTAGGGTTAGCTATATGTACCCCAACCAACATCAATGCATCATCCATTCCTCATTCTGACATGGTATCAGTTAGGTTAGGATCCTGTGGGATCCCGTTCCTCCGTTCTCCGTTCGTATCTCCCGAGCCTGAT